AGCTATTTCACTTCACGCCTCGATTATCTCAATTAATTATTCTCACGACTTACTGTTTGTTGCATACTTGGGGTTTGAAGTCGCGTCTAACTAATACAAACTCAACAGAAACACTGTTTCAGTTGGTTCATCTTCGGTCAGGATATTAAGGAGCTCTGTGAGAACTTCTGTGGTTCACTTTCTTGTTGCCTTAGTACTTTCATTCCGCTTTCTTTCCCTTCCGTTCTTCCATTAGAACAGTTCAGTCTGAAGTCTACAAACTCTCTTATATTTTTGTCTTTGAAATGTTAAGTCGTATTGTTTCTTAACTACTACTCAGGAGGCAGTTCAGGTTGAGTAGGCTCCAAGTAGCTTCTTTTTTGCCTCGGGGTAGCTTTAATTTTAAAGACAAAAACTTGATTTGCTTGGGAGGCAGGCCTCCATTTTTGACTTTTAAGCCGACAGTTCTTCATCCACAGTGAGATATAAGATACAGATATAATAACAAAAAAAACTAAAAAAGTTCTATCCCTGGGTGGAAACTGATTTTAGTATCCAAAGTAAGAAAAAATTTGCAGACGTTTCAAAGCAACTGCTTTCAGTGGCTATGAGAGCCGATCTCTGGAGATCAGATGAAGACTTAATAAGTTTTGAGACATTTATGCGTGACTTGAAGTGATTTTAACGCTGCCTCATTTTTAACGATTGGCTTTGTTTCAAATGAATGTTTACAGCCTTTTGCGCGTTAGCATTTTACATTTTACGTTTTACATTTTACATTTTACAATGTTTGCGCAATTACAAACGTGACAAAACCGATATGGCAACACGTTGGCACAATGACCGTTAACCGGACATAACAAATAAGGAGACACTTGTACAGTTCCTTCCTGCTTCAGGAAGGAAATTTCTCGCAGGAAGGACCTCTGACGTCTGCATGCAGGCTACAATGACCATTTATATAGCGGCATTAGCTACCAAGAAGCCTTACCTGTATTTGAGTCAACAGAATTGTCTACGTATCTTTTTCGCAAAGGTAACGCCGTTCTATATTTTCGGAGCTTTACGCAACAAGCCACCGTTCCTGTCATATTCGATCTGTTCAGAACAAGCGAAGTGGTTTCATTTTGCCTATAAAGTTAACCAGTATGTCTTTGAGTACCACAGCACAATCGTATGAACTTGGTAGCGCCAGTACAGTCGTGAAGAAATCAACACGAAGATCACAATCAACTTATTACCGCAAGATCGCGATCATCTTGTGGGTAGTTTCATTTGTCCTACTGATCATTTCAGTTGTATTTATCACATTGTATGTCCTGAAGGTGACGTCTCAAAAAAGTGACGACGATCAGGCTACAGCAAAGCCTAGTACAGGTGAGGTAATTCATCCTGTAATGTCTGTAATGAGTGGCCCGAGTTTAATCTGAAAGATTTCTTCAATGAAAAGGATGGAAAACGTTTGCTCAGTATTCTAGTTGAATGACCAAAAAATGTCGTTGTAATTTTTAAGACACATCACAATGTATCAGGACTATAAATTAATATAACCTTCTGTTATTCTTAACCACAGGAATTTCCCGGGTTGCACAAAGGATTAGCACACTTGAAGACATTTAAAAGTTGCTTGATGCGAAATTATAAAAACGTGACACTCTTATCATCCTATCACTTTTTTTGACTGTCCACAACGTTTCTTTGGGACTATACTGTCAAAATACAACCAATTGTTTTTATTATCGCATCATGTGAGCGTTTCTGTTTTAAGAGTTTTCCATATCCGCCGCGAGGGAAGTGAAGTAAGATTGCACACCGAGCGATCACACATTCTGCCATTCAGGGAGTCCAATAAGTAAACCATTTTGGGCGGATATTACGTAGGATATACACCTTACAAGAAAACGAGAATGTTATCGTATCATAGTCTCATAAACTCTTTATACAGTGTAGACTTATCGATTTTAAGGGTAAAACTGAAAACGAGAGCAGTGGAAGGGGCATCAAAGATTCAAAGTTTCCTTTCGTAGAAAAAGAATGAAGAATCCCAAAACGTCTTTGAAACAAAAAACTGTTGCGCCCACATTATCAACTATATCACAACAGAGGGAAAAATTATAAACATAGGTGGTCGATAAATAATGGTTTCATAGTTATACGTAATTGATGGAATTTTCATTCCCAACTAAGATGTTTCGTTCTTGTTTTTAGACATCGACAAATGCAGTGCCGATGTTTCGGTTTGTGATGTCAACGCCGTCTGTCAGAATACTTTTGGTTCTTACATTTGCTCCTGTAAAGCTGGATTTACTGGAGATGGGAAAAATTGCACTGGTGAGAGAAAGCATAATTCCAGCCGTTTATTAGACACATACACCAGAGAGTTCTGTAGGTTCAGTTAAGTAACATGCCAGGTTCCATTCCAATTCATTCCTTCTGAAGATCCTGGTGGAAATGAACAATAACGCACGAAATTTTTAACCTTGCCGTTCCTAAGAAACGTGTTGTGTTATTCAATTAGTTTATTTTTGCAACTGAAGAGAGATTAATACAAACTAACGTGTTTTGATCCATTCATCAACGCTCGTGTAAGTTCAAGTTGCATAAGAACAACTTCCTAGTTATCTTTTCCTGACCAAGTTTATATGTGATGAACAGGAAACATCATATCCATTCCAATATGTGATTTATTCTGCAGATATAGACGAGTGCGAGAGCAATCCTTGTCATAATAGTGGTACCTGCACTGACCGTGTAAATGAATTTATCTGCAACTGTCGTGTTGGATTCCATGGGAGCCGCTGTGAAACAAGTATAGTCAATATTTTCCTATAGTTATACTATTGGGCTAGAGATTTGTTGTAAACAGGCTGGGGACCGCTTTGTACCACAGAGGACCTANATTTATCTGCAACTGTCGTGTTGGATTCCATGGGAGCCGCTGTGAAACAAGTATAGTCAATATTTTGCTACAGTTGTACTACTGAGCTAGAGATTTGTTGTAAACAGGCTGGGGACCACTTTGTACCACAGAGGACCTACTTTGCTTTACAGCAGAAATTCTACCAGCGCGCGGGCTATCCGGATATACATTTATGGCCCCGTGATTAGGAGATGATTGTTATACAGCAGTTCCCAAGAAAATATGGGTGAAACTGCTTTAAATCCTTTTACAAACTCTTGACCCGACTGCTCATCCAAATAACTCACACATGAGACAGACCTGAAAAATTGACGAAAAATAGATGCTACAAAAGAAATTACTTAATAACAATACTTCCCTTTACAACACATTTTACTCACGAGTGAGTGTGTAAGTCTAGTCAAAAAGAGAGCTCGCTGTACCAGAACGATGTGTTGCAGTTTTCCCATCTCTGATTTATTTTGCTGCTCAAAAGCAAGCACTTGACGGCTTCAAAATCAAACATTATTTTTCAATGTAAAAAGCTAAGGTTGTTGTTTTTTCCTTTTTTAAATAAATAGCTCCTGGGATAGAGAGTAATTTTTCACGTCTCATTGGAATTTTTTTTGTGGTCGTAGTTTATTCTTGAAAAACATTCTCATTCTTCACCTATAGGTATTACAATCAACTCAGCACTGATATCAGACAATGAGGTATATGTCGGTCATCTAGGCCAGTTCCTTGCACCGGTTGTTGGAGAGCCTTCTCAGTGGGTGCTTTGTTACCGCGCCTCCACTCACGGCTGGGCTGTCAGCACATTCCACAGCAGATGTGACGGCAAAAATAACACGGTTACCATCATCAAAAACGGACAGTATGTGTTTGGAGGATACACCGACATTCCTTGGGGTAATTTCTTTGTAGTTTAATAGTTTGCC